ANTTGATTTACGTGTCTCATGGCGTTTGAACATATTAAGATGCTTACCATCTGCTTGAGTAGATTGCAAACGTGCTAGTTATGGAAGACTTCATCCGCCGTTAGCCCATTACGCCGCTACAGAAGGGGATTTTGAGTAGCTAATTTTTTTTTAATTGAACCAAGTTTGGTTTTGTGATGCCCAATTTCTAGCTGCTGTCCTTGAGCTTGGGGCTCTGTTTGGTGCCCTTTCAGCGGGCTTACTTGCCGACAGGTACTCGCGCCGACATTCAATTATAGCTGCTTGTCGTGCGTTTTCATGTTCATTGCCTAATAATCACACTCCCCATCCATATTCTGGGTGTCCGCCTGCTCACTCGTTACGTCTCGCCATTTCTTATGGTCTGCGCCCCCGTCTCCTTTTATCCCTTTCCCTTTCCCGGTCCCGTACTTCAAGTTCGCGCTGCGCACATTCTTGTGCTCTGGAACCGATGTCCTTCTCGCGGTCGTCGAGTTCTTCGTCGTGTGGGTGTGATTGATCATCAGCTTGAACTTGAATCCCAATCTCACACATCAACGTCCCCTCCCCCGTTTCCTCACCATCCCCTCCAACTTATCCACTCTAAGCCAATACAACCTCCCTTCCTCAATCCTCATCCTCTCTTCCTGTATCCTCAACTGTTCCTGAATACGTAACCTTCTCTCGAGATCTTCCACCCTCCTCGCATCCAACACGCGGTTCTCTTCTTCGCGACGTTCCGATAAGCGATTGGTCCTGGATTTGGACGTCCTGTTCGAGGATCCTGGCGTCCCGTTCTTTGAGACGCTGTTCCCGCTCTTTGATGCGGGCGAGAGTTTATCGCGCTCTTCTGAAACCCACGAGTCCCGCCTCTGTTCCAACCTAGCATCGAGTTCCTCGATACGTGCATCCCGTTCACGAAGACGCTCGTCTCCCTTTGAGGACGGGTCCTGAAGACGAGCATGTAGTCCCTCAACACGAGACTCCAGCTCTTCAAGCCTTGTATCCCGTTCTTTCAGAAGCTGATCAAGCTCCTGTACACGGGCCTCCCGCTCTTTGAGGAGCGGATCGCGTCCCTCGAGCCTTCCTTCATCAAGTCGGGCGGTACACTCCTCCAGACGCTTATCCGAGTCCCTTAATTGACCCTCAAGTAGCCTCACACGAGCATCCCCTCTTACGCGGTCTTCGTGCTGTTTCTTGAGGGCCCTGTCCCGCTCTCTAAGCGTCGATTCGAGTTCTTGGATTCTACGTTTGAGGTCGACGGGAGTGACAGCTCCATTGACAGGTGTGCGAGGAGGAGGGGGAGGAAGGAAACTTGGGCGTTTCACGCCAGGGCCTGCTAATTCCTGGGCGGTGCTGCTGTGGTTACGGGTGACGATGGCGCCGGAGGAGGGAGTGGGGGGGACGGAGTTCTTGGTACATGAAACGGAGAGGCGGACATCCTGAGGCATAACTGAGACCATCCTTCTAACGTGAGATGGCTGCTGGGTGTACGTGATGGTGGCAATTGGAAGTTGTTGGGTGCTCTAGATGTCGACGCAGACGCAGATGGTGGGATCGGAGCGGAATTCGAGGGAGGTGATCGTCTTCGTCAGCCAAACTCGACAAACTCTCCAAGTCAGACTCGAACCCTGGGACAGGCAGAGGTCCAGCGGACGCGGACAGGGACGTTCCAGCAACGGGTTGTCCGTTTTGTCGATCCTTGGCAGCAGCCATAGACGCAGACCTGCAAACCTCCTCTCCCTATCCTTCACCTTCCACTCCCTCGCCTTCCTCGAGGAACCCTTCCTAGTACTCGCCGCTGCCCCTCCCCCACCTTTCCTCGTAAAGTTGATTCGATACCGCTTGTACGTCTCATTCGAGATGCCCAAATCCCCAGTGACAGTTCCATCA